CCTGCTTCCCTATCCATGGATCATCACCATCTTCCCGGCAGCTATTGCTTCCTAATTCGCTATGTACTTTTTTCAAGTCCTCTTAGGAGCGCCTCCATCTTAACTCTTCCGGATCACTTCCATGATCCCTCTTACTCGGCCCCCTTACCATCGGAGCTGAAGTTATTATCTTTACGACCCGTAATCATAGCTTGATGTCTTGTTAGCGGCTTCCACTTCTTCACGCATTTTCTCACAAATGTACGATACAATTGTCTTCAACAAATTCCAGAACGACTGTCCCATCCATTTTATATTCCTCGTTGCCGAGCTTAAGGGTAATTGTGATATATTCCAAATTTATCAATTATTATGAAAATATAACAATGTAGTTCTCTATATTACTGTTATATTATATTACTGTTAAATAATATTACTTGTATAGTATTTCCGGAAATATTTTTTCAATCTGAGAATTGGCTTCTCATCGTACTCTCTTTTCGTTAAATATCAAATTAATTCATACCTTATAACTGCCCATTTGTTACTCGTACTAACTATGAGGGACTGTGATTAATTTAAATTATCGAATGACAATTATTTATGCATTACATTTCTGCATGACAATTGTCAAAGCTGCAGTGGAATGATTAAACTCATATGTAGAAGAAGATGGTTGTGACATTTAATAAGAAAATATATATGAAAGAAAACTAATGATCAATTAGTCAAAACCAAGGATATCAAAACACTCGATTATTTTAGAGCTTCTCGAGTCGATGCTGTTTCCAGAACCGGCGATATTTCTGTCTGATAAGGGCACTCGATGTCATAGATAAGGGATGGGACGGGTTTAAATATCGAGATGTGGGAGGAGAGCTCCATCTTCTACAACAGCAATCATGAAGTCCTGTTACCTCTTCTTGGTCCTGGCCGTGGCTGCCGTCAACTCCAAGGTAATCGACATCAACTGGCTTGTCGATCTTGGCTTATTCAGCAGCAACCAATTCATCCGTGAACACAGATTCACCTCTGCTATTTTACCTGAGGGTTCTTTTGGTTCAGATGTAAGTATTTATAAAAATCAATTTCACGTAAATGAATCAATTTATATAAAACTAATTATAAATAAAATAAAGTAATTGATAACGTTGAAGGCGCCAATTTAATACCGCCTCTATGCACATACTTGAAACCTTCTTCTAATATAATGTACTTTTACTTGGTGTTCCATTCCTATTTAAAAGGTGTTGATATCTATTTACGCACTTGGAGTTCCGGGGCGGCTAACCTGTACTATATCTGGATATTTTGTCATTGATTTTTATTGTTACATATCCTTGTTTTGTTATACATAGCTCCAGTAATAAAAAAAAAAAAAAGGACATGATAAACCACAAACAATTAGAACAATACATTATAATTACATACCATAATTAATTTAAACTTATAATTTTCTTCCGATGATGAGCGGTAATAATTTTTAGTAGAATATATATATATATGTACATATGTGCATTGCTTTTGCTTACTTATCAACCTTTGCCTCATTTTCAGCTGTCGTTTTCCGCATCAGTGGTCGTTGGATTCGACTCTGCAAAGAGGACCGACAATTGCACAGTTAAAGTCGATGGTAAAGATTACACAATCGACCTCTACTATGGCCTGGGCTTGTTCCAACAAACCTTCAGCTTACTGAAAATCAAAGGGAACGCCATGTCTGCCTCCTACAGGATCCGGGACAACTCCCTCCATCTGGCCTACACTGTCCACAACACTACGAGCTGCTCCGTCACCTTGGACGATCTAAGCTATGAGAGGCTGGCCAAAGTAGACTTCTACTCTTCCGACCCTCTGTACGACGGTAAAGATGTCGACAACTTTTTTGAGGAAACTGTACTACCCTTATTGAACAAGAGCATAAACAGGGCTGAGGTAGAAAGAAGTCTCCAAGCGATCTGTAAAAAACAACCCAAGGACATAGCGGACCACATGCCACTGGTTCATATGGCTGTAGTAAATCATGCAAAAGGTCTAGATATGCAGTGAAGCCGATTGTGAATTATGATCCCTCAATGAAAACCATCTATTATTAATTTGAAATATACATGTTATAAATGAATTCGCTACATTCTTAATATCACTCCCTTCTTTATTACTGTAGTATTACTTTTTGTAGAATCTAATCATAAGAGAGATGATAGTATTGTTGAAGTCAGAGTCACTCAGCACCATCCGTGTTCGAGTTTCTGTCCTAAACCCTTTAGAACTTAAAGGGAAAATATTTATTGAATAGAATATGTGATGGAATAAAAAGTAAATTGGCCAACAAATATCATAGACGATAGTTAAGGACTAAATATTTCAATAAGATAAATATGAACAGTTACTATAAGCCTAAGGTCGGGCACTCTAATCTAGATTAGAGTACAAGTCAAAGTTTATTCTGAGAAATCAACGAATACAGTTGTAAAAAAAAAATCAATCATTACATCCATAATCATCAACAAATAAATCTAAACATTGTCCAATTGTTCCTCCGATGTTCATACTGATATCTACGATCTTGCAATCCATAGATTCCATGGTAATGGACATCTAATTTCTAATAAACATATTGTAAGTTTTTAACTTATACTTCTTTCAATGCTCGACTTTTTCCAGAATATAGACTAAATCGTTTAAAATACAGAAACAGCAAAAGGAATATGATCTCGAATATAAATATAATAAACAAGAACGTAAAAATCAGGTGCGGCGTGCATCACACCACCTAACTTTTCATATGCAAGAAGGAAACCGATACACATTGCATGCACAGGTTTTGAGAAAATTCGAGTCAACATTATATGGCCTTTCAAATAGATATATGGCCGTTAGGCAATGAAAGCCCCGCACTGCATCAGACTCTTAAAATATTAATGCACAAGTCCAGTCTATGAGCTCAATATCAATACAAAGAGAGACTCGAAAATACATAGATATCTATAATCTATAAATAAGAGGGTATTGCATTATGTGATAAAAACTATACAAACTAAATATGTTTCACTTTACACATTTTTAAACATTTATTCTCTTCTATTGTAAGTTTAAACAAAATGGAAAGAGGGAATTTTCATCGGTTACCGCCAATATTTCATTTTTGGCCACTACCCTAATCTTATCATACATTTTGCCCAACACAAAGTATTTCAAACATAAAATATCTTCCAAAGCAATTTGGTTCTCTCTATATTTATTATCTATTCTTTAATCATGAACGGATACGCCATCTTCACCCAAATAAGCTAAAATGCAAACGAAAGCAAAGTGGTTGGCTCCTCCGCTAAAAGCTATGTAACGATTACTTGATAGAATGGCAGGGTCGATTTTTAAGTTTGACGTCTTGAACTATCCGGTGAGATCCCTTGAGTGTTTTGAAACAATTTGAGCTGAACGCACTGACCAATGATTGAACGAAATGTGTTTAATCAATCCGCTAGAAGGTATGTAACTATTTTTTAAGCTAACGCAGGATCGATTTTCAAGTTGGATAGATTAAATTATTAGGTGAGTGTTTTGAAACAATTCGAGATAAAATCACTTGCACGTTATTCAATAAAGTGTGTTTAATCGATCCTGTAGAAGGTATGTAACGATATTTTGAGCGAACAGCTGGCCTGATATCCATGTTTGATTGCCTAAATTTTATATTGAGATCCCGTGATTGTGTGTTAACAATTTGGGCTCAAAACAGAGACAAATCACTTAATAAAATATAACAGACATGACCGTTAAAAGGCAAGTTACGACTACCTCAGCGAAAGACTTGACCAATTTTTAAGTTGATTTTTTCAAAGACCGACTTGGGTTTGGAAGATATTTTATGTTTGAAATACTTTGTGTTGGGCAAAATGTATGATAAGATTAGGGTAGTGGCCAAAAATGAAATATTGGCGGTAACCGATGAAAATTCCCTCTTTCCATTTTGTTTAAACTTACAATAGAAGAGAATAAATGTTTAAAAATGTGTAAAGTGATACATATTTAGTTTGTATAGTTTTTATCACATAGTGCAATACCCTCTTATTTATAGATTATAGATATCTATGTATTTTCGAGTCTCTCTTTGTATTTATATTGAGCTCATAGACTGGACTTGTGCATTAATATTTTAAGAGTCTGATGCAGTGCGGGGCTTTCATTGCCTAACGGCCATATACCTATTTGAAAGGCCATATAATGTTGACTCGAATTTTCTCAAAACCTGTGCATGCAATGTGTATCGGTTTCCTTCTTGCATATGAAAAGTTAGGTGGTGTGATGCACGCCGCACCTGATTTTTACGTTCTTGTTTATTATATTTATATTCGAGATCATATTCCTTTTGCTGTTTCTGTATTTTAAACGATTTAGTCTATATTCTGGAAAAAGTCGAGCATTGAAAGAAGTATAAGTTAAAAACTTACAATATGTTTCTTAGAAATTAGATGTCCATTACCATGGAATCTATGGATTGCAAGATCGTAGATATCAGTATGAACATCGGAGGAACAATTGGACAATGTTTAGATTTATTTGTTGATGATTATGGATGTAATGATTGATTTTTTTTTTACAACTGTATTCGTTGATTTCTCAGAATAAACTTTGACTTGTACTCTAATCTAGATTAGAGTGCCCGACCTTAGGCTTATAGTAACTGTTCATATTTATCTTATTGAAATATTTAGTCCTTAACTATCGTCTATGATATTTGTTGGCCAATTTACTTTTTATTCCATCACATATTCTATTCAATAAATATTTTCCCTTTAAGTTCTAAAGGGTTTAGGACAGAAACTCGAACACGGATGGTGCTGAGTGACTCTGACTTCAACAATACTATCATCTCTCTTATGATTAGATTCTACAAAAAGTAATACTACAGTAATAAAGAAGGGAGTGATATTAAGAATGTAGCGAATTCATTTATAACATGTATATTTCAAATTAATAATAGATGGTTTTCATTGAGGGATCATAATTCACAATCGGCTTCACTGCATATCTAGACCTTTTGCATGATTTACTACAGCCATATGAACCAGTGGCATGTGGTCCGCTATGTCCTTGGGTTGTTTTTTACAGATCGCTTGGAGACTTCTTTCTACCTCAGCCCTGTTTATGCTCTTGTTCAATAAGGGTAGTACAGTTTCCTCAAAAAAGTTGTCGACATCTTTACCGTCGTACAGAGGGTCGGAAGAGTAGAAGTCTACTTTGGCCAGCCTCTCATAGCTTAGATCGTCCAAGGTGACGGAGCAGCTCGTAGTGTTGTGGACAGTGTAGGCCAGATGGAGGGAGTTGTCCCGGATCCTGTAGGAGGCAGACATGGCGTTCCCTTTGATTTTCAGTAAGCTGAAGGTTTGTTGGAACAAGCCCAGGCCATAGTAGAGGTCGATTGTGTAATCTTTACCATCGACTTTAACTGTGCAATTGTCGGTCCTCTTTGCAGAGTCGAATCCAACGACCACTGATGCGGAAAACGACAGCTGAAAATGAGGCAAAGGTTGATAAGTAAGCAAAAGCAATGCACATATGTACATATATATATATATTCTACTAAAAATTATTACCGCTCATCATCGGAAGAAAATTATAAGTTTAAATTAATTATGGTATGTAATTATAATGTATTGTTCTAATTGTTTGTGGTTTATCATGTCCTTTTTTTTTTTTTTTATTACTGGAGCTATGTATAACAAAACAAGGATATGTAACAATAGAAATCAATGACAAAATATCCAGATATAGTACAGGTTAGCCGCCCCGGAACTCCAAGTGCGTAAATAGATATCAACACCTTTTAAATAGGAATGGAACACCAAGTAAAAGTACATTATATTAGAAGAAGGTTTCAAGTATGTGCATAGAGGCGGTATTAAATTGGCGCCTTCAACGTTATCAATTACTTTATTTTATTTATAATTAGTTTTATATAAATTGATTCATTTACGTGAAATTGATTTTTATAAATACTTACATCTGAACCAAAAGAACCCTCAGGTAAAATAGCAGAGGTGAATCTGTGTTCACGGATGAATTGGTTGCTGCTGAATAAGCCAAGATCGACAAGCCAGTTGATGTCGATTACCTTGGAGTTGACGGCAGCCACGGCCAGGACCAAGAAGAGGTAACAGGACTTCATGATTGCTGTTGTAGAAGATGGAGCTCTCCTCCCACATCTCGATATTTAAACCCGTCCCATCCCTTATCTATGACATCGAGTGCCCTTATCAGACAGAAATATCGCCGGTTCTGGAAACAGCATCGACTCGAGAAGCTCTAAAATAATCGAGTGTTTTGATATCCTTGGTTTTGACTAATTGATCATTAGTTTTCTTTCATATATATTTTCTTATTAAATGTCACAACCATCTTCTTCTACATATGAGTTTAATCATTCCACTGCAGCTTTGACAATTGTCATGCAGAAATGTAATGCATAAATAATTGTCATTCGATAATTTAAATTAATCACAGTCCCTCATAGTTAGTACGAGTAACAAATGGGCAGTTATAAGGTATGAATTAATTTGATATTTAACGAAAAGAGAGTACGATGAGAAGCCAATTCTCAGATTGAAAAAATATTTCCGGAAATACTATACAAGTAATATTATTTAACAGTAATATAATATAACAGTAATATAGAGAACTACATTGTTATATTTTCATAATAATTGATAAATTTGGAATATATCACAATTACCCTTAAGCTCGGCAACGAGGAATATAAAATGGATGGGACAGTCGTTCTGGAATTTGTTGAAGACAATTGTATCGTACATTTGTGAGAAAATGCGTGAAGAAGTGGAAGCCGCTAACAAGACATCAAGCTATGATTACGGGTCGTAAAGATAATAACTTCAGCTCCGATGGTAAGGGGGCCGAGTAAGAGGGATCATGGAAGTGATCCGGAAGAGTTAAGATGGAGGCGCTCCTAAGAGGACTTGAAAAAAGTACATAGCGAATTAGGAAGCAATAGCTGCCGGGAAGATGGTGATGATCCATGGATAGGGAAGCAGGAACAGAGACTAGAAGGAAGTAGCTGGCGATCCCATCATGTACCTAGAGAATGTCATCTCATTGTAGTCGTTGATACAAAGTGATACAAGTCTTAACAATTTTATATAAAAGAGAAACCTGATGGTTCAAGTATTTTTTTCATTTTTTATAGAATCGATTAGGTAAAAATAATTTATAGTATAAAAAAAAATTGAATAAATAAAAATACGACTTCAGAAAAAGAGAAATCGTTTCCATCGAAAAGGAATGTTTTTCCATATCCAAGTAAAATTCATGGAGAATTGAGAGCGGAATTGGTATCTATGAATATTTTAGTTTTTTTAGTTATTGACAATTGATGTTCAACACATTTATTCAAGATCTTACTTACGGTATGCAAACCGTTACAATATAATTACTTTTTATGTATTTTCAAATCAACATGTTTAATAAAGTTCATAAAACCCAAGTCGGTCTTTGAAAAAATCAACTTAAAAATTGGTCAAGTCTTTCGCTGAGGTAGTCGTAACTTGCCTTTTAACGGTCATGTCAGTTATATTTTATTAAGTGATTTGTCTCTGTTTTGAGCCCAAATTGTTAACACACAATCACGGGATCTCAATGTAAAATTTAGGCAATCAAACATGGATATCAGGCCAGCTGTTCGCTCAAAATATCGTTACATACCTTTTACAGGATCGATTAAACACACTTTATTGAATAACGTGCAAGTGATTTTATCTCGAATTGTTTCAAAACACTCAAGGGATCTCACCGGATAGTTCAAGACGTCAAACTTAAAAATCGACCCTGCCATTCTATCAAGTAATCGTTACATAGCTTTTAGCGGAGGAGCCAACCACTTTGCTTTCGTTTGCATTTTAGCTTATTTGGGTGAAGATGGCGTATCCGTTCATGATTAAAGAATAGATAATAAATATAGAGAGAACCAAATTGCTTTGGAAGATATTTTATGTTTGAAATACTTTGTGTTGGGCAAAATGTATGATAAGATTAGGGTAGTGGCCAAAAATGAAATATTGGCGGTAACCGATGAAAATTCCCTCTTTCCATTTTGTTTAAACTTACAATAGAAGAGAATAAATGTTTAAAAATGTGTAAACTGAAACATATTTAGTTTGTATAGTTTTTATCACATAATGCAATACCCTCTTATTTATAGATTATAGATATCTATGTATTTTCGAGTCTCTCTTTCTTCGTACTACATCTTTTTTATAAACCACATAACTACAGTCACTGAGCTATATATATGTATATTTGCGCCTACAGAAAGTATATCTCTGTATTCAACATATAAATGATTATGGATTTTACGCCTATTAGTTATTGAACTATTATTTTCCATTTTAAGTTTACTACCTATGGACGACCACTAAAAGGCTCCTGAAATTTAAAGACTGTAATCATCCACTTCTTACTGAAGCTCAAACCTGGTCCAAATCTGATGAAGAAAAATCACAAATCTTTGCTCATCACCTCTTTAAAACCTTTAATCCACACCCTGATATTCATAACCCAAATCACCTTGAATGTATTGAAGCAGAACTGGATATCCCACTCCAAATGTCTCTTCCACCTAAAGCCTTTCATCCTTCAGAAATATCCGACATCATTCAAAGGTTACCTTCCCGAAAAGCTCCTGGACACGACCTAATTACATCCCAGATCCTAAAACTGCTTCCTCGGAAAACCATCCTATTCCTTACGTATATATATAATGCTGTTCTGCGAACCACATACTTTCCTAACCCTTGGAAATTATCTATTATCAAAATGATACATAAACCCAAAAAGCCACCAGAAAATCCATCCTCTTATCGCCCTATCTCCCTTTTACCCATCCTAGGCAAAATCCTGGAAAAGCTCATCCTAAAACGCCTGCACCCCATCCTAGATTCTAATCACATTATCCCAGATCATCAATTTGGATTCCGCAGATCCCATTCCACTATCCAGCAATGCCATCGTGTGGTGGATGTTGTCTCCTCTGCATTGGAGCGCGGAATGTACTGCACGGGAGTCTTTCTCGATGTAGAACAGGCTTTTGATCGAGTCTGGCACCCAGGACTGCTTTACAAACTCCGTAAATTCCTACACCCTACATACTTCCTCATTATCCGTTCCTATCTAACTGATAGATCCTTCAAAGTAAATCATAATAATGCCTATTCATCCCTTTTTTCCCAGTCCGCTGGTGTTCCTCAAGGTAGTATCCTAGGTCCTATCCTTTACACAGTTTATACAGCTGATATCCCAACCCATCCTAACACTGTTATTACCACGTATGCCGATGATACATGTGTCCTATCAATTAATAACGACCCAACAATTGCATCCCAAACCCTTCAATCACACATCACAAACCTTGAAGAATGGTTTCAAAACTGGAGGATCAAAATAAATTCCAATAAATCCCATCAAATCACGTTTACCCTTCGTCGTAAACCTATGTCCTCTTGTCCTACAGTATCCTTTAATAATACCCCACTTATCCCTGTTGAACAAATTCGATACCTTGGACTCCACTTAGACAGACGTCTAACTTGGAATCCTCATACCAGACTGAAACGACAAGAAACAGCTCGACGTTTCCGACTACTCCAGCACTTACTAGACAAACGCTCTAAGCTCCCAGTCAATTACAAAAGACTCATATACATGACTACAATAAGACCTATTTGGACTTACGGAATTGAGCTCTGGGGCTCCACTAAGCCATCGAATTCCTCTCGCATCCAATCCTTACAATCCAAAATCCTTCGTAAAATCCTCACAGCTCCTTACTTTGTCACAAACAAAATCATCCATAACGACCTTAATGTTCCTTATGTTTCTGACCTGGCCCGATCCAGATACCTTTCCTTCCATAATAAACTTCAGAACCATCCTAACCCTCTCGTTTCTAACCTTGCTTCCTTTTCGATACCTGACAACCCTCCGAGGCGTCTGAAAAGAAGATGGCCTCGAGATCTCCTTTTGTAAATACATTTTTAGAGTGCTACCAGTGGGTAGTTTCTCACCAAATGATTTCATGTTATTATATTCTATTGTACACATTTACTGAATGTATTTTTACTTGTAATACAGTTATAAATATCATTAATAAATAAATAAAATAAAAAATAAAAAAAGTTTACTACAAAAAAATAACATTTTTCTGCATAAAATAGATTTGCATTGTCTACCATAGAGAGATTTTCATTGCCATCGAAATTATTAAA